AATACTTGGCTTTAAGGTTGTCAATGGTCTGGTCTGGGGCTAGATGTGTTTACTTCCAGGAATGAATTACAGGCAAATCCTCATTCCCGGGCAGCTGCAAGTGGTGACTGTGCAGAAGTCCTTAGCAGTTTGCTTATTCCTGAGCATGACGTATGTACATATGTGCAGGGAAAGATCTAACTTGGGCAATTTGAAATAGATCCAACTCAAGCAGTGATCAAAAAAATCCAATTAACTTTTTCTCCCACATTACTCATTCACCCAGACCTCTGCATTTCCCAATTCTGGCTTGGCTAATGCAAGGTAATTAAAGCCCTGTGATACCAGCTTTTGATTGCTACCCTGGCAGTGGTGTGGATGTACTTCAGTGTGAAGCTCATCTGAAAGATGGCGTTTCCCTGTAGTTTGATGTGATTTGAAAAGTAATTCTCCACAGAATGGTGCTATTTCACATTTTCTTTACCATTTGAGATGACAAACATTGTCAAAATATTGGGGTTGTGCTCAGATTTAATGAAGGAGAAGGTTGTTCTATGTTTGTTTGGTTTTAATTCTCCCTCCAGCTGTACTTCAGAGGCTTTCCAACACTTTTCTATTTGCAGAAGATACTATCTGTCACTTCAGTTCCCAAAGATGGTCCAGGAGGAAGAGCCTGTAAAAGATACCCCACCAGCTTTCCTGATGGGGTCACTAGGACTATTCTAGGTAAAAATACAGTGTACTGGCTACTGCTTAATGCCACAGGGTTTCATCTGGTGTAAATGAATACAGCTGCACTACCCACATCCTGCACTGACTAGCCCTTTTGGCTCCTCAGATCCTCAGGTAACCATTTATCTAACAGGAGCTGGAATCACTCTTGCTTTTGTCTTAACACTTACCAGCTGGGCGATCTCCAGAGGCAAAGGCTTTACCCAGCAGCGAGGCGGATCCCCTGGGAGCATGAGTGGTTGCTCAGGGCTGGAACAGTGTGCACATCCTGGGAGCATCTCTGCTTCATGAGGTCTCCTCTCAGCATGCTGGGTGCTGCTTATTTGGAGAGTTGCTTGTTTGCTGGGTATTGTGAGGAAATTATTGTAATTGTATTGTAAGCTAATAATTAAAAAAAAAAAAAAAGTCCCTGACATATTTGGTTTCTCAAGCTTGAGCTGCAATTTCTGTACTTTGAAACAAATCTACTACATGCAGCTTAAATTTTAGTAGAAATTAATTTAACTGCAGTTCTTCATAATTTATTGAGGTGGGGGTTTTTTGAGACTTTTAAGGTACAGTATAATCCCAACCAGAGAGAGACCATCTGCAAGTTGATAGTTTTTCTACTGCAGAATAACCTCTTTGCTTCCCCCCTTTGCATGTAGATGGTTTCTTGGAGCTATTCTGCATCAAGGTGCTCCATTTTGTTGTTGTTGGGTTTGGGGTTTTTTGTTTGGTTGGCTTTTGTCAGAAAGTCTTTAGAACATGGGTGGGGGGGTTTTTTGTTGTTTTTTTAAAACCTTTTGCTAGACACATCTATGTTTTTTATTTTGTTTTCTTCCAAGAAAAAAGAAGGCGGTGTTAGCACCACTGCAGTCTTTCAGCAGTACAGGGGACAGGTAAAGTACTAAAACCCAGGTAGGGCATTTTGCCTGCTTGCAGATTGGATGCTGTATTTATTTTGAGGCAATTGGGGTTTTTTTATTCATTTTTTAGATCAATTTATGTTTTCATTGTCCTTGAGTAAAAAGTAGTGCGGAGGTGAGAAAGCCAGAAATGACGTTTTCAGACAGGCCTGTAACAGTCATCCTGTATTTTTATTTAATACAAATATTACTGTCTATATAGAAATATAGAGAATAGAAAGGACTAAATGCTTTCCAGCCTGTTTTCAGGTTTGTAGGAGCCTGTTACCTGACTGAACTGACCACGTGCTCAGATGTAAATGCCGTCCGTCTGCTGTGGCATGGAGATTTTTGGGAGCTCTGACAGATCGCTTATGCTAGACTGCAGTCAGGTTATTGGTATATCCTGTTACTAAAAGCGTGGTAGGGATTGAGCTAATTGAATTGCCAATGAAAGCGCTGTTGGCTGTTTTGATTTGTGTTTGATCAGGGAAAAGATGAAAGTTAAGTAATGTGCTTGGTTTAAGCTCTCAGATGGGGTTGGTTCAACAGCCATTATTCAATGTTGCATGGCAAAACATACTGTGCATCTGAGAGTGGAGGAAGGCTGTTGCATGAAGTTAAGGAAACTGCCTGTAGCAGAAGAAATACATATTTTAGGTCTTAGGGATTGTCTGCATGGCCTCTCTACAACTGCACAGTGAAATACTGATAGCTGATCTCTCTAGGGTCAAGAATGCAAACCGACTTTAATGGTAATTCTTTGTACAACACAGCTGATAGCAACAAGTTCTGACGGCTCTTGTTATCAACAGCCAAGTAAAAAATCACGCAGCTTTTTTGTCGGCAGATTTGCTTGCTGAGGAGAATGGCTTTTGGAAAGTTTCACACAATTTTTGCATCAGCTGAAATGCCTTTTTTTAATGTGAAACTGAAATTTCTAAGGAATTAAAGACTTTGTAATAAAAATAATTATAATTTTTTAATCAGCCTCTCACCACTCAGCATTGAAATATTAAGCAGCTTGAAAACTTGTGGGAAATATTCTCTGTTTTTCTGAGTTCTGCCTTTCCCTCCCTCCCCTCGTGGTCTAGTTCACGTGGGTGGGTAAGGTCTTACCAGTCATCTTTCTGTAGTTGCTTAATCCCCAGCAAATTTCTGTTAGAGCCTAAGAGCCTTTTTTATCTGTTTAACCTTCATCCAGCCTTTGCCTGGAGGCATTTGCTCAATGTGAATGTTATTTTATCTGACCTGTTCTCTGACTTTATCCAGCCTGATTAGAGATTTCTGAACCTCTACCAAAGTGGGGGGACAGGACACACGGATGGACGGGGATAATGAGGGATGGGGACGGGAGGGTGGGAAGCCTGGACATAGAATTGATTTAGAAATACCATTAAATTAGAGGGAAATGAAAGCTGCATCAGTTACCAAGGTATCTCCTATAGATTTCTATAGCATCAGGAATGCTGTCAGTGTTCAACATGGTAACCTGGATGATCAGCATCTCCTGTTTGCACTGTAAATCTGCCCAGCAGCCCTGTTTGCCCTCCCCAGCCCCCAGGAGGACAGGTGCAGCCATGGGTGCAGTGCTTTTCCCAGTCCTTTCTCAGCCCTGAGTTTGCAAAATTCCCTGGAAATATTTTTCAAAGCAAAATGGCAGCAGGGACGCTGCTGAAGAAAAACACCCCAGTTTGGGTATAAAGGCAAGGGGGTGATTCTGGTGCAGGTTTCACAGTACTGGACAGGCTGTAACTCCCCGGGTGCTGGAATGCTGCTGGCAGATGGATTTCCCTGCCAAAGCCCTTCTTGCTGAGAGCTGGGCTGCTCCCAGGTAGTCTGTGCTTCAGTGCTCATTGGCATAACTAGCTGCTATCCCAGGGACTGCTGACAGTAACTCAGGTGTCAAGAAAACCCCTCTCTCAAAATAGGAGTAAAACTTCTGTGACCAGTTAGATGATCCAGCAGCCAAAAAGGTCAGACATCTAAAATTTACGTATAAATAAACACCAGTGTGTTGAGTGCTGCATGAACAAACAGCTCCTGGGAGTTCCTCTTGTGACCATAGTTGTGGAGCTTAATTTAGGGATATGAAGAACATTGACCTGCAATGTCAGCTAGGAAGAGCAGGCTGTGTGTGAACATGGATGTGATGGAGAAGGGTGGAGGAGGAAAGGTGAAGGGAGCACTGAGTTATTGTGCTGAAACATAACCTGAGACAACACAGGTTAACTTGTTTGGTTATCTTGTGTGTTTTGGGATTGTTTTTTTTTTGTGGGTTTTTTTTTTGCATGGCTTGCTAAGGAATAGATCTCACTTTATCCTGCTCTGTCCATCCCTCCTCTCTGCATGCAGCTCACTTTTGAACCAGTTTGGCAGCCAGATCTAACAGAGGAATTAGCTTTTCTGAGCAGTAAATGAGCCGTAAATGAGACTGCTTAGGTTCCTTAGTAAAACGTCATCTCCAATCTTTCTTTCCTTTGTGTCTTTCTTTTAGTTGTGGATAAGTTAATATTGACTGAGTAAAGAGAAGGGGGATGCTATTCTGAAATGGAGCTGGGCAGGGCCAGAAATTCACATCTTGCTGGAAAGATATGGAGAATCACAGTTATTCACTTTCTGTGCATAATGTTAAAGATACTATCAAGCCTCTGTCTTGCATTTACCATCTAGTGAAGGCAGTCCTGAGGCCAGCCCTCTAGCTGGAAGTACAACCCCAGGTGCACCTACAACCCCTTGCCTGGTACCCTCCTGCCATCTATTTTTTCCATGGTAGGAGGGAAATGCAGGGTTTGAAGCAAGTTGTGCTGTCCTCTGCTCCAGAGTCAGCTCCTCCAGCAGTGTTTTTAGGCAGATCCTCACTGGTCATGGTTCCCACCAGCTGTTAGGAGGGGCAGAGTAGGATAGAAGAGTGACTGAAGGATTTGAGGAGGGTTAAAAGAGTAATTGGGGAAGAGAAAGTTCTGGTTGCAAAGAAGAGGAGTTGCTGTGAGCAATGCGCTGTGAGCAATGCACTCTGCCAGGGTCATGGTGTAGGGTATCAAAGGCTTGCATCCTTACAAGACTTCATGTATCTGAATCAACTTCAGGCAGTATCTGGTACTTTCACACTTGTCAGAACATTGATTTCTTCTCCTCCACATTTAACTTGCTGTTCATCAAATTATGTAACAGAAAGAAAGGACCATCAGTTGCTATTTGGACATGGGAGAAATTGGTTATTGAGCCTCCAGAAGTCCAGACTTGTCAATTAAATTTGCTCCTCATAGCCCTCTTTCTGTGCTTCCTTCTGATATGTTTTTTTCAGTGATGCCACTGATACACTCTTCATTTCCCCTCATTATTTCTTTACTTCTTGCATACATTGAATCTGAGTAAACAGAAGGATAACCTTTTACTTACCTGTTTGTTCAGAAATACATAGATGATGGGGTTGTAAACTGTGCTGCTTTTGGCAAGGATCGATGGGATGATGCTGGCAGTGGGGGTGATAAGACCAGGTTTCCCAAATGTAGCTATAAGTGCCACAGTTGCATATGGCAGCCAGCAGAGGAGAAAGCAAATTACCATCACCGCCACCATTAGCAGGATGCGCTGCTCCCGGGTCCGGCCTGTTCCTTTGTTGATGCCACTCACCTGGGTGGGAAAGAGGAGTGAATACATCATTAGAACTGCACACACTGGGAGCAGAAGATGGGAGCTGCTGGAGTGGCTGCACTAGGGCAGGGTGGAAGATGGCAAGGTCATCTGAAATCTTGTTGGCTGGAGAAGAGCTGGCCAGTGTGGGCAAGGCTTTTAGCAGTTGGTACAGAACAATTGGAATGGGAATAGCAATAGTGCTGTTCATCCAGAATAGCCTTCTCCAGCTTTCTCCAAATTACACAGCATTTAATACGAGTATCTTGGGCAGGAGGGAAGAAGGGGGAACCTGCCCTGGTCTAACTGGCCCTGGGGGACTGCTGGTCTGAATACTGCTAGTAGTGATGCACCCAGCCAAGGAAGAATTTCTCTGTATCCAGAGGCCACTGGGGCAGGACAGGAGACAGGCAAGAATGTGAAGGACAAGGATTTGAGAGACCTTTCTCCCCTGAATCCATTGGAAAAGTCAGGAGTTGAATTCAACTGATTTACAACAGACTCCTCTGGACTTGAGGCTTACACGTACTTGTAAGTAAATTGTACCCTATATAAGTACTGCTGGTTTATGCCTCACCCTTGTTTCCTAGTTTTCAGTATGTTTTGAAAATTGGATCTTTTACTGATTGTTCTGTAACACCTGCACTGCGAAGTGCTGCAGTAAGCACAAGAAACTATTACAAGCAGTCTTATGAGGAATCCAGCAGGATGTATTTGTGTGCTGGAAGTCACCTTGAGACTTATTAAAACACCAAACCAAAACTGTTCAAAAAGTAGAACGTATCTGTAATTGCTTGCTGAGGGAACTCTAATACAGAGTACTTTATAAATATCCTGTTAATGTGCAAATGAAGTCTTTTATTATACTCGTCTGTGATTTAAAAGAAAAAAGAGTGGTATTTGCCACAAGGCAAATAAAGTTGTTAATCAAAATATTTCCATTAGTGAGAGGTGAATATTTGACTCAGAGACACCCACAGGCATCAGTAGCTCAGGTTTGTTCACAGACATCTCAGACAGAAAGCTTGCATTTATCTTCTTATATTGCACTGTTGGAGTTGATGTGAATTCTGTATGACATCTTCCCTGTGTTCAGATTTTTTTAACATCTGTCACAACTTGGTATAAAACTTTACAAGATGCTCAGGTGTGATGAAGTAGAAACAGCTGGATTGGGGCACATGTGTACAGGGATGGAAACGGAAGAGAGGTTGCATTTTGCATCATGGGCACTTGATTTTTAGCCTCTTGAGAAGACGCACTGAAAGGCAGTGGCAGGTGGCTGCCAGGGTCTTTTACTCCCACGCAAAATCCCAATTTCTTTGTGCCTTCCTGAGACACTGCTGTCTGCTCTCCCATGCCAGGAGACACCCAGGGCAGGTGGTGAGCGATGGCTTGCGAGCGTTGCACCCTAAGGAAAACCAAAGCTCCTTTTTTCTACAGTCAAATTAACAAAGCTCAGGGTAATGCCTGTATTGATTTTACAGAAGGCAACCCAACGACCCTTTCCTCTTGCTTTATGTGAGGTCAGAGAAGACAAATGTTTTCCGGATATTTTCCACATCAAAATCAGCCTGGTTTTTTTGGCTGTGTGAGAGGAGGACTCTGGAGGTATTTTGTACTTGGGACCCTTTAGCAGAGCTCAGGTCACAGGGCAGCTGGTGTACTGCTTGGTTTCCACATCTCTTCCTGAATATCCTGATGCAGTGTGACACAGTTAACAGGGAGAAAAAGGAGCTTTTTGTCCCTGGTTGAACACTGACATAAAGCTAGCGGGGTATTTCTGATGGTGCATGTTCTGCCAGTGCAATACATCCTTCTCAGGCAAACCTATATCGTGTATTACTTTCTTTACTTTTTAAGTGTTTTCTTCTTTCCTTAAAAAAATAAAAGCTTGCAGTTTTCAAACTGATGCTGCTGGGGAATGGCTTCACGGGTAAGCAGGGAAAGGTTTTAATTTCCTTGCCAGCAGTAGGAAATTATTATTTTTCATCCTACAAGTCCAAAAAGTTTGAATATTGTCCCACTTCTGTAATTCTCCTTGAAGCATTTTGGCTTTCAATTGCAAGGCTCACCTGGTCAGTCAGGGAAACCTGAGACCTTGATATTAATATTCAAGGCACATGCAGAAAACTTGCAAAACTAAACAAACTCAGTAACCTTCAAATGTTGCTGGCACATCATCAGCAGATGGTGACTCAGATATACCACACAACTCCAGGGCTGTACCCAGACTTGCCATTGGATCAGCTTCTGTAGATGCATAAAACCAGAGCTGTGTGATGGTAATGGGCATTGCTGTGGGCTTTCAGTTCAATTTTGCCTTGATAACTTCCAGGGAAAGTAAGAGCACAAGTCTGGCCCAGGTAGCTTGTCCGTAGTTGCTGGCCCATAAAGGTTGGAAAGCCAGCCCAGATTGTTTCTGGCTTAGGGCTAACAGCAGAAATTTAGCACAGGGTTACCCTGGCACTGCACTGAGCTGCTGTAAAGTGTCCTTCATTTCTGGTTTGGTCAAAAATCTAAACCTCAATCTGCTGTGCAAGAAATAAAAAACCATAACTCTCTGTTTCCGTAGGTTTTGGTATAGAAAAGAGCCACAGAAAATGTGCTTTTATAGCTTTGTTTTCTTTGCTGGAAATTTAGTCTCTGTTTCTCCTAAAAATTATCTTTTCAGTTTTCTAAAATTTATAATGCCTCTGTATCACTCATTCCATATGTTGCATGTGTGGTCCAGTGTACTGAGTTAGCAGGATTGGGGAGGTTCATCTCCAGTGTAGTTGGAGGCCCTGGTCACATCTTGCTCTTACAGTGATGTTTTCCCATGCTTCCCACAGGTGTTAATTTTTATTAAAGCTAACAAAAAGGTCATGAATAGCTGGGAATCTCTGCAAAAATCTGCCATACCCTGTTGAGGTCCTGAGCACATTCCTTCTGGGCTCTGTTCAACATTCAGTCCCTGCCAAGGGCAGGCAGTAAAGGCTGACGTTGGGATCCATTGCTGAGTAGTGAAAAGATGGTTTCCTGATGGGCTGGACTCACATTCCATGACAACTTATGTGAGCAGAAAGAAGGCTAATGTCCTGGTAATGTTACTGTGCATTCATTCTGCATATAAGCTGTCCTTTTCATCCAAGAGCTTACCATGACAGTCTTCACTGTGCCCTCTCCAGCTAAAACTCAGCTGAAGCTTGATCACAAACACTGAGTCCAATGAAGTATGTAATCGCATACATTATATAGGTGTTTCTATATGAGCTGATGCAATATGCACTCTCTTAATGGAATGCATGGCTCTGGGGGTTTGCCAGATGCAGCAGGAGTTTGTTGTGCTGCCTGTTTGCCTCTGCCTGGGACATTATAAGCCATGATGTGCCTGTGCTATGTATTAACTTCTGCTGTTAGACAGGATCTGTGGTGGAGATGGCCATGAACACAGGAGGACAGTCCCTGTGCTGGGATCTATCATTTAATAGCTAAGTTACTTTGTTTTCTACTACAGAGAAGCACCTCTAGATGGTGATTCAGCCTGCAGAAGGCATTAATTTGCCTTTTTTTTCATTGATCATCACTGGGAACTTACACATCCATCCTCCTAGTGTAAGAGTGGAAAAGCTCAAAATACAGTGTTTGTGTGGTGTGGCACTGGATGTCACAGAGAGGAGAAGAACATGGATGAGAGACTAATGCAACGGTAAGAACAGGTTTAAATAGAGGTCATTGTGGACACAGCAAATTCCTGGTTGATATTGCTGACACACACTGTGCAGAAATAACAGATTCATCACATTGATAGGGAAGGAAAAAGTATGTGTTTTCAGCAATGGATAAAGAAATTGCTCAGTAACATCCTGGACCAGAGAGCACAGCTGAGTATACCCATGGCTGCATGGGAGGTTTAGCTACAAAGCTCCCACTGGGATTAATTCCTGAATCCCCAGGATCAGCTGAGAATCTCAGCTGAGTGACTGACTGTGTTTTCTCTTGATTTTTGCAAAACCACCACAGTATTTAGAGCCTGGAGAGTTGACAAGGACACTCACAGGACTAGGAGAAAGATCCTTGAGAAAAGCTGGAATAAAGGGAGATGGAGCAGAAAAAACCACAACCAAACTGGGTATGCAATGGTGTGAGCACACCAGCTGAGGCCTGTGGCTTACATGAGACTTCCTAGTGGTTCCTGCCCATCAGCTTATGGCCTACTTTTAAGAATTGACAAATGTAGGTAGTGGGTTTGTAGTAGATCTGTTGGATGCTTCAGGGGAAACTCTCAACCCTTCGAAGCTGTCTGGTTTTAGTTGATGCTCATAACTCAGGTCAGGAGATCTATGGGCATGCACATCAATACATCTGTGTGTTGCTTGGAAAGAGGTATGAGGTGCCTAAAATGACATCGGATGTATCCTGTGCACAAAGCAGGCTGCCAAGGGAGCCTGGCGAACAGGACAGGAGGTCCATAGTCCATGAGACGACTTGGCATGAGAATAGCCACCTCTGCAAGCGTGGGCTTGCTTAGCAAAGGCTGAGCAAAAAGAAATAGAAGCCCAGCAGAGAGCTTCAAACAGTAAGACAACAGAGTGATTACAGAAAGGAAAGCAGTTATCATCGGAAGCTATTGCTGGGGCTTAATGAGAATTACCTTGAAGCTTTGAAACAGTGAGCAGTGATATAGTGGCCCATTTAACAGTAGCTCATGGTCTCTCCTAATAATAAAAACCGTTTTGCTTGGAGAGGAAATACTGATGTTTATCATGGAAAATAAATGGCTGATGCTATCATCCAGAAACACTGCAAGCTCAGGTTAGATTTTATTTTTAAGGAAGTTTTTTCTATCCTTCCTAACATACAAGTCTTTGGATTATGCTTAAAAGCCTCTCACTGCAATCATAAAACCTAGAAACATGTTATCTGCATTCATAATGAAAATATTTTCATATAATCTTTGGTTCAGAGCTTAGGCTTTCTTAATATTTCCATACATTCAGTGCCTTGTCATGAAAACA